TGGTAGATGTGGGTACACTGGTAGATGTGGGTACACTGGTAGATGTGGGTACACTGGCAGCCGTCGTTGGAGCAAACCTGCACGTAGGCCTCTCATGCCCTAGGGTTGTTCATCACTGTAAAGGAGCAGTAGTTTTTTAGGGCAGCCTCCTGAACAACTTTCTTCATTCTCTTTAAGAAACCACTGCGCACCTCCGAGGCATATGGCCGAGCTCAGCTAAAAAAATGCTAAGTGAAGACGAACGGGTTTTTAAAGGCCGAGCATCATCCCACTAAGGACTGTATTATTCAGGGGGTATTCTGTGTTGATTTGGGAATCGCTGAGAAAAAATGTGCAGTTGCTCGAGAGCATGGCGGATGGTGAGTTTCGTTATGACAGAACTTACCACGTGACCTGAGCACGTAGATCACATAGGACAGGTCAGATTTGAATTATAGATGTGGTCGAAATCGTGTACGCCGTCGGGACGTTACAAAAACAATAAAAAAAAGAGTTTCAATAGAAATGAATAATAATTGATAATTGAAAAACAAAATCAATAATCTCTGCATAAGAACGTTATGCGTCTACTAAGGTTAATAAATGATTTATTTTAACTAGAGCATCGTGAATTAGTGAAAAATTAAAATATATCACTCTTACATGTTTGTATTATATTTTAGACACCGAATAAATAGAACATGAGAATTGTTGGGAAATTTGAAGAAAAAAAAGTAATATTTATCTTTTTTTTTTATTCATTTTCATCTGTGTTATATTTTAAGTTATTTTTTATAAACATTTAAAATCTTGTCAGTATTGTTAAAATTTTCTCTGTATTGTTAAAAATCATTTCAGTTTTGTTAAAATGTTGTCAATATTGTTAAAATGACCAAAGGAAACAACTTTTCTTGAAAGTAAAACATCTCCCCACACTTTAGTGAAAGTGTTTTAAAACATGCGACTAATTATGTGAAGATAAAAGTGTAGAGTACTGGTTGAAAAAATCTTCAAAAGTTCAGAAACAGCTCTGTTTTTGTAACGTGAACTTAAAATCTATAAAATTATAAAGCTAGACATGAGAAGTCAATGGTAAATACAGTGGTCAGCGAACTGTATATAATTACCCAAATTGAGGTAACATCAAAGAAATATCACGGGGTAAAGGATGACTCAATAGATATTAAATAAAATTATGTTGTGTGTTCAATATTACGTAAGATTTTATTTTTCTGGCCACTCGGCTTCTGGCTACCATGCAACTACGCACCTTGCAATCTGGCTACCCTACATCTGACAAACCTGCATCTGCACAACCTGCATCTGACACCCTGCATCTGACAACCCGGCATCTGGCCTCCCGGCCACTCGACATCTGTCCACCCTGAATATTGCTATCCTGCATCTGTCCACCCTGCCTCTGTCCACCCTGCATCTGTCCATTTGCATCTGTCCACCCTGCATCTGTTCATTTGCATCTGTCCACCCTGCATCTGTCACCCTGCATCTCTCCACCCTGCATCTCTCCACCCTGCATCCGTCCACCCTGCATCTGTCCACCCTGCATCTGTCCACCCTGCATCTGTCCACCCTGCATATGTCCACCCTGCATCTATCCACCCTGCATCTGTCCACCCTGTATCTGTCCACCCTGCATCTATCCACCCTGCATCTATCCACCCTGCATCTGTCCACCCTGCATCTGTCCACCCTGCATCTGTCCACCCTGCATCTGTCCACCCTGCATCTATCCACCCTGCCTCTGTCCACCCTGCATCTGTCCACCCTACATCTGTCCACCATGCCTCTGTCCACCCTACATCTGTCCACCCTGCATCTATCCACCCTGCATCTGTCCACCCTGCATCTATCCACCCTGCATCTGTCCACCCTGCATCTGTCCACCCTGCATCTGTCCACCCTGCATCTGTCCACCCTGCATCTGGCCAACCTGCCTCTGTCCACCCTGCATCTGTCCACCCTACATGTGTCCACCATGCCTCTGTCCACCTTGCATCTGTCCACCTTGCATCTGTCCACCCTGCATCTGTCCACCCTGCATCTGTCCACCCTGCATCTATCCACCCTGCATCTATCCACCCTACACCTGTCCACCCTGCATCTGGCCACCCTGCATCTATCCACCCTGCATCTATCCACCCTGCATCTGGCCACCCTGCAACTGGCCACCCTGCATCTATCCACCCTGCATCTGTCCACCCTGCCTCTGTCCACCCCCCATCTCTCCACCCTACATTTGGCCACCCTGCATCTGTCTATACGCCTTGTCATAAAGACGTCATAATTGTCTAGTGGCCTTGTCGAGTAGATGTCATGATTGCCATGTCACCTTATCATGTAGATATCATGATTGCCAGGTGGCCTTATCGTGTAGATTTCATGATTGTCTAGACACCTATTCATTTAGACGTCATGATTGTCTAGTCGCCTTGTCATGTAGTCGTCATGATTGCCAGGTCTCCTTGTCATTTAGACGTCATGACTGCCTAGTCGCCTATTGTTTATCTTACGTTCAAGGACTTGGACAACCGAGGTAAGTCGGTGTTTCGTTATAATGAACTAATTATTCATTTATTCATTAGTTAAGAGCCCAAAAGCAAACGAAAAGAATAATTTCATGAAAGAAATTAACAGTCATGCATGTGCTGAATTAGTGAATGGAATTTTAGACACTGGCTTGTGCTTAGGGCTAAGAATGTTTCGAATCATTGGTATATTACAGATGACATTAAATAGGAGAAGCGTATACCAGAGAGAGTCCCTCTTCTTCGCCTTTCTCACTCCCAATAGGACATCAATAATGCTATTCAGCATGCCCCCGTCCCGGGCTATCGTTGCTAGTTCAGTCCATTTGGAGCATAGGTCATCCACATAGTTTTCCATCTGTCCCTGTCCTGGCCATCTTTGCCAGTTCAGCCTAATGGAGCATAGGCCACCCACAATACTAATCAACTTGCCCCCGTCCTGGGCTATCTTTGCTAGTTCAGCCCATTGGAACAACTTGATGTTCTCTCACAAAGGACTTTGTTGGGCTATCTTTGCCAGTTCAACCCATTGGAACAAATTGATGTTCTCTCCCAAAGGACTGTGTTGGGCTATCTCTGCCAGTTCAGCCCATTGGAACAACTTGATGTTCTCTCCCAAAGGACTGTGTTGGGCTATCTTTGCTAGTTCAGCCCATTGGAACAACTTGATGTTCTCTCCCAAAGGACTGTGTTGGGCTATCTTTGCCAGTTCAGCTCATTGGAACACCTTGATGTTCTCTCCCAAAGGACTGTGTTACAAATTTTGTCAAATCATCTTATCCTCAAGAATGGGTTAAAACAAATAGAAGAGAAATGAATATTGAAAGCCAAATATGTTGTCTTTAGGAAGGTACTAACATCAGAATCCTCCAGAAAGAGTCATTTATTGGATGTGTGAATGCCTTGGACAAAAAAAATGCAAGGGAAAAATATCAATATAATATCAACCAGAGAAAATATTACAACTTTTTGGGTAACAGATTCAATGTTGAAAACAGATAGCAGAACAGAGCAAGGCATCAGCGTTTTCAAGTCAGATCTGTTTTTTTTTTACATTGTGAAAATATTAAGTTTTAAGACATCAAGGAAACAATTTATTATAAAAGCAACTTACCAAACTTAGAGAGAGAGAGAGAGAGAGAGAGAGAGAGAGAGAGAGAGAGAGAGAGAGAGAGAGAGAGAGAGAGAGAGAGAGAGAGAGAGAGAGAGAGAGAGAGAGAGAGAGAGAGAGAGAGAGAGAGAGAGTAAAAAAAAAAAAAAAAAAATAAAAAAAAAAAAAAAAAAAAAAAAAAGAGAGAGAGAGAGAGAGAGAGAGAGAGAGAGAGAGAGAGAGAGAGAGAGAGAGATAGAGAGAGAGAGAGAGAGAGAGAGATTTTCTGATTACTTTCCAGTCCTTGATTCACATACTTTCAGTTTGTTTCTGGATCATTTGATTATGTCATTGCCGATGTACTAGAAGAACCTCAAGGGATTTGGCCAAAAGAATTTCAAGCGTTGGCAGAGCCAGTTCTTGAACCTCGTTCCATCAGTAAAGCAATCATTGAATGTAAAAAAAAAATCAGATCTGTCATAGTTTTGGAAGTAAAGAGATGCAAATGCTTTTAAAATTGCACATGACGAGGCAGTAAGCAAGTTTCTGACTCTTGCAACAATCTGTCTTTCAACTGGGATTGACCACTGATGAACATTAAAACAAACTGAGAAATCGAGTGAACCCTGAAGACAGCATACTCATTGCTCTAACATACCCATTGCTCTGACATACCCGTTGCTCTGACATACCCATTGCTTTGACATAAACATTGCTCTGACATACCCATTGCTCTGACATACACATTGCTCTGACATACCCATTGCTCTGACATATACATTGCTCTGATATACCCATTGCTCTGACATACACATTCCTCTGACATACCCATTGCTCTGATATACCCATTGCTCTGACATACCCATTGCTCTGAAATACCCGTTGCTCTGACATACACATGGCTCTGACATACACATGGGTTATTTATTATTCGATATATTCGGGATTATTTATTATTAGATTTATCAGGGTTATTTATTATTAGACATATTGGGGGTTATTTATTATTGACATACACATGGCTCTGACATACACATGTCTCTGATATACAGATTGCTCTGACATAAAAAAAAAATTAAAAAATACAATTCATATTTGTATCCATGTTTTATCCAACATTCAACAAGTTCACATCTCATCTAGTCGGAAGTAAATAATCCAACAAAAATCTTGTAACATCGTTGAGTGTTGTATGAGGATTTGATGAATCAATGTGCATTCATGTTACGCTCTTTATAGTTCTAAATGTGTTATCCGTATAAAGAGATCCACTGAACTCTAAACATTTTGCATTAGAAAAGTTTATTGTTTTATTTTTCAAATCATGGGGGGAGGGGGGGGGCGATCTTCAACACATATATTTTGGGGTAACTGCTAAAAAAAGTGGGCAGACTCTTGTTTAAAACATATGAACTCAGATTTTCAAATGTTGGCAGCTGAGAGTAATATGACAGAGATAAGGTGACCTGGTTGATGACAGACATAACAATGACTTAGCATATGACATACATGAAATGACATCGTTTATTATAGAGAAAGAAATACCTGGTACATGACAGTTAAAATATGTAAGAGGCACTGACAGAGTATTTTGACAGAGAATAAGATAAAAAAAAAGTAATGTATACATAGATGGAATTATGTCCCATTTGATGCACCGGAAGCGCCCCCTTCACTCAAATGTCTTCTGCTGACAACGCCCTTCACTCAAATGTCTTCTGCTGACAACGCCCTTCTCTGTGGAGGAATAAAATCAACAAGATCATTTATTTAGCGCACCATTTCCAAAGAAAATTAACTACACAAGAAATCACGCTCAATTAAGTACACAAGAAATCACGCTCAATTAACTACACAAGAAATCACGCTCAATTAACTACACAAGAAATCACGCTCAATTAACTACACAATAAATCATGCTCAATTAACTACACAAGAAATCACGCTCAATTAACTACACAAGAAATCACGCTCAATTAACTACACAAGAAATCACGCTCAATTAACTACACAATAAATCACGCTCAATTAACTACACAAGAAATCACGCTCAATTAACTACACAAGAAATCACGCTCAATTAACTACACAAGAAATCACGCTCAATTAACTACACAATAAATCACGCTCAATTAACTACACAAGAAATCACGCTCAATTAACTACACAAGAAATCACGCTCAATTAACTACACAAGAAATCACGCTCAATTAACTACACAAGAAATCACGCTCAATTAACTACACAAGAAATCACGCTCAATTAACTACACAAGAAATCACGCTCAATTAACTACACAAGAAATCACGCTCAATTAACTACACAAGAAATCACGCATAAAATTGTTGCTAAAAAATTATTTGTATTTTGGTTAAAGAGATTTTTTTTTTTAAATATATAGATGGTCAACAATGCATACGAAATTAGGTTTTCTTTTTGAATTATAAACAATTTCAATGTAAATATTTGTTGATGTTTTTTCTTCAACCCTTTTTTACGGCCGTTTCATGAATTGCTTTAAAATAATGTTATGAGCAGAACACGCCAACACGTCATTCCACGGAGTCTCAAATGTGCAGCACACGTCCCTCCAATTGAGGATACTTTTTTTGAGAGCAAGCGTCGTGTGTTTATTGAACACACGATAAACACTAGCTGAACGCTTTCCAATGCAGCCAAACATGCACGCTTTAAACTCTGACATTCCTTCTCACAATTCCATCTCCGGAGACCATCGCCCAAGAAAAAGTCTCCAAGGAGACTTGTGACCTCCAAAACAAAAACAAACAAAAAAGTATACAGTTTTACGAGACGCGAACTCTCCTACGGAAAGATGCGTGCTTAATTAACTCCCCTTTCTTGTGACTGCTACAACAACGAAATGAATAGAGTCAGCTCACCGTAAGATATCGTCAGACAAAGCACTGTACGAATGGCTGAAGCTTTACTTTAACTACCCCAAACCCATTGTTTTTTTTTTTAATTTCTGAGCCTCCTTTTAGTCGCTCCAGATGCCATGATCCGATAGGAGTAGAGATTATTTGGAGTCATTAGGCGTTGGAGAGTTCAGAATCCAACAACAGCTTCATTCAGCTGACAGTAACGTGTCATTAATTAGTAATGAACTTTAAGCCCAGTCCGTGGCAGTCAATCGTAAGTATTCGAATTCGGCTTGTTTTTTTTTATATATAAATAATCGTATCGAAGCTATTGTCTCCAGAGTTTCTGATGTAAACAAGGTTTCGTGATATAATAAGTTGCTTTGGTTTTATTAGTGAAAAAAAGAAAACATCCAGGCCCCCAAAGAATTGGTGTTGTATTAATCGGGCAAAGATTGTTTGCTTGATCTTCTCTTAGGCCGTTGAAGCACATGACAGTTCAGAAATGGACAGAAGGATTGCAGGCATGTGTGACTTTATATTTCAGAGTGTGGGTGGGGGAGGAGGTTTGGGGGAGTGGGATGGTGTCGGGGGTAGGGTGGGGGAGGGTGGGGGAGGGTGCTGTGGGTTACGCCCAAGAAACGATTTGTTTATCGCGGTTTCTAGAACAGTCAAAATACAATGACTGCTAGTGTGACAGGACACTGGTAGCAGCTAAGTGCCACTCATTACCGCTAGTCTGACAGGACACTGGTAGCAAATAAGTGCTACCGATGAGCGCTAGTCTGACGGGACACTGCTAGCAGCTAAGTGCTACTCATTAGTGCTAATCTAACGGGACACTGGTAGCAACTATGTGATACCATTGAGTGCTAGTTTGACGGGATAATGATAGCAACTAAGAGTTACCAACTAATTTGTATCTGTGAGCGCTAGTCTGGCCGGACCCTGGTAGCAGCTTAGCGCTACCCATGAGCGCTAGTCGACGGGACACTGGTAGCAACTAAGTGATACCCATGAGCGCTAGTCGACGGGACACTGGTAGCAACTAAGTGATACCCGTGAGCGCTAGTCGACGGGACCCTGGTAGCAACTAAGTGATACCCATGAGCGCTAGTCGACGGGACACTGGTAGCAACTAAGTGATACCCATGAGCGCTAGTCTGAAGGGGCACTGGTAGCAACTAAGAGTTACCCATGAGCGCTAGTCTGAAGGGGCACTGGTAGCAACTAATAGTTACCCACTAATTGGTATCTGTGAGCGCTAGTCCGGCCGGACACTCGTAGCAACTAAGTACTACCCATGAACACTAGTAGATCGGACTCTGCTACGATCTAAGGGCTACCTAACTTTGGCTAAAAAGCCTTTCGATGCATTGCTATTTTCAGAATCAACAATTTTGACATTTCCAAATTTAGTTGCAAAATTCTGAAAACGTTAATTTATAAGACACCATGACCCATAGACAACATGACGCATAGACACCATGACCCATAGACAACATGACCCATAGACACAATGACCCATAGTTACTATGACCCATAGACACCATGACCCATAGACAACATGACCCATAGACAGCATGACCCATAGACAGCATGACCCATATACAAGCATGACCCATAGACAACATGACCCATAGACAACATGACCCATAGACAACATGACCCATAGACAACATGACCCATAGACAACATGACCCATAGACAACATGACCCATAGACAACATGACCCATAGACAACATGACCCATAGAATTTCTAATTATAAAACACAATTATTTTATAAAACTTTTACCTCGAGTGTATCACGCCGCACTATTCTAGGCTGTACAGACCTTCATTTTGGCTGTACAGACCTTCATTTTGGCTGTACAGACCTTCATTTTGGCTGTACAGACCTTCATTTTGGCTGTACAGACCTTCATTTTGGCTGTACAGACCTTCATTTTGGCTGTACAGACCTTCATTTTGGCTGTACAGACCTTCATTTTGACTGTTCATACCCTCATTTTGGCTGTACAGACCTTCATTTTGGCTGTACAGACCCTCATTTTGGCTGTACAGACCCTCAGCTTGGTTGTACAGACCCTCATTTTGGCTGTTTAGACCCTCAGCTTGGTTGTACAGATCCTTAGTTTGGTTGTACAGATCCTCAGCACTGTCAGGAATTCTTTTGTTTTTCGACATATCTTCACGAGCGGATGGTTTTTCGGAGCCGACTCTGACAGATTTAGAAACACCATCTCCGACTGTCATTCCATTATCACGATGATGAATCGCGTGGTTGTGTAAGTGTTGAGTTTGCGAATCGAATGCCGAGAGAATGGCTGATTGGCCGTGTAATTGTTTAGTTAGTGAGTCGAAGGCTGGAAGAATGGGTGATGAAATGTGTTGATGGCGGCCGTTGGTGCACTCTTTAGAAGACCGGATGTTAGGGGTCATTATTGTGTACCGGGGCGCAGGGTACAACATTTCCAAGGTTTGAGGATGACTCTGGGCTCCTCGCTTACCGTAGTATTTCGGCATCCTATCCATAACCGATGTGCGCTGTCGCTTTGTTCGCCCCTCTGTTTTATGCTTGAGTTTTCCTCTGTCACCAGAGTTGAACTCACGCACAGAGGAGACAGCGCCCCTTTCGTCACCAACGGAACTGACATTGTCACTGACATCTTCAACATTATCCAAATGGCCATCCTCACGATTGGAGAGTGCCTTGGTCTCTTTTAATAGCAGCGCAAGTCTCATCCAATCAGATTGGAGAGTTCTGCTCCTGTCTGAGAGGTCTTCGAGCCCCGCGCGCACGTTACTCAGGTCTTCGGTCTCACCGGCTGGCTCAGGTGGCCCACCGTCAGACAGTTTGTAGGTGTCACCCTCTGGCTCAGGTGGCCCACCGTCAGACAGTTTGTAGGTGTCACCCTCTGGCTCAGGTGGCCCAACGTCAGACAGTTTGTGTGTCTCACCCTCTTGCTCAGGTGGCCCTCCTTCAGTCAGTTTGTGGGTGTCGGGTGAAATAAAGAACGGGTGTTCGAATACTTCGTCACCTAATAACTTTGATATCATCTTCAAGTCCTTCGTCTCTTGTGGTTCAGGGCGATCTCTGAGGTCATACCCAATAGCCGACTTCAAAAGAGGATCATTACTATTACCCAAGTATGGAGGCCTTGGAAAACTCCTTCGGTTAAAATCAAATTCATCTTTCTTGTTGTTCACATGAAAAGGTATTAAAGGTATTTCCCATCTACTTTTTCGTCCAGAATCTGAAGTCGTGTGCCTGCTATTGTAAAGTAAAGCTGTCTCAAAGTTGAAGTCCCCGGGAATTGGATGAGATAATTGATTGATGCCCTGGGACCATCCTTTCATTTCCGGTAAGTAGTCATCGTAAGTCGCCATTGACAACCCGCGCCTAACCTTTGGGAAGATCTTTGACGAGGACAATGGAGGGAGCAAGATCATATCAAGATTATTGGTCCCGTAGTGTGACCACTCTGGAAATGGCCGGGATCTCTTCCCGTAATAGAGGGGCATTCTTGACAGTCGTGTGGTTTTCTCCGCCGTTCTTTGCTGGGAAGATGACGTCGTTGCTTGCAATGCAATTAGAGCTACGAGGAACTTGATGTGATATGACATCGTGGCAGGGATGTTGTGATGGGGGAAGTGGCAAGTCTGTGAATGTAAATTTTAAAAAATGGATAGTATTCTGTATAACCTGTTAAAATAGATTTAGTAATGAAATTCTGGAATATTATTTATTTAATGCGCCAGAAAGAATTTATTAAACTCCATAATTTTGACAATTTATGTTAACTGTCACAATGTTGACAAATTTATGTTAACAGTCACAATGTTGACAACTTTATGTTAACAGTCACAATGTTGACAATTTTATGTTAACTGTGACAATGTTGACAACTTTATGTTAACTGTCACAATGTTCACAACTTTATGTTAACTGTCACAATGTTCACAACTTTATGTTAACTGTCACAATATTCACAACTTTATGTTAACTGTCACAATGTTCATAACTTTATGTTAACTGTCACAATGTTGACAACTTTATGTTAACTATCAAAATGTTCATACCTTTATGTTAACTGTCACAATGTTGACAACTTTAGGTTAACTGTCACAATGTTAACAACTTTATGTTAACTGTCACAAAGTTCACTACTTTATTTTAACGGTCACAATGTTAACAACTTTATGTTAACTGTCACAATGTTCACAACGTTATGTTAACTGTCACAATGATCACAACTTTGTGTTAACTGTCACAATGTTCACAACTTTATGTTAATTGTCACAATATTCACAACTTTATGTTAACTGTCAAAATGTTCACAATTTTATGTTAACTGTCACAATGTTCGCAACTTTATGTTAACTGTCACAATGTTCACAACTTTATGTTAACTGTCACAGTGTTCACAACTTTATGTTAACTGTCACAATGTTCACAACTTTATGTTAACTGTCACAATGTTCACAACTTTATGTTAACTGTCACAATGTTCACAACTTTATGTTAACTGTCACAATGTTGACAACTTTATGTTAACTATCACAATGTTCAAAACTTTATGTTAACTGTCACAATGTTCACAAATTTATGTTGACTGTCACAACGTTCACAACTTTATGTTAACTGTCAAAATGTTCACAACTTTATGTTAACGGTCACAATATTCACAACTTTATGTTAAGTGTCACAATGTTCACAACTTTATGTTATTTGTCACAATGTTAACAACTTTATGTTAACTGTCACAATATTCACAACTTTATGTTAACTGTCACAATGTTCACAACGTTATGTTAACTGTCACAATGTTCACAATGTTATGTTCACAACTTTATGTTAAGTGTCACAATGTTCACATCGTTATATTAACAGTCACCAAGTTCATAAACATGGCTACATGGCTACATGGCTACATGCTGTTTAGATATTATTTATTCACGTGTCGCCCGACTCCAGGTTTAATTTGAAATTTGCCGTATATTTAAACAGATGGATTGCTATCGATCTATTGTTGGGTTTAAAACCAACAGGATCAATGCTATCCTCTCTGGGATTAATATTTTGAGTATCTAGGCGTTGGGACAGACCAAGCACATCGTAGACTTGAATGAAAGTCTTAAACAACTCAAACTCCAGCTGTCCAGATGATGAAAACAATATGTTTATTACTAATATAAAAAGTTCTTCTCTTGGTACCACTAATTTTCCATTATCTATATATGTATCTCTATAGCTATGACTGAATGTATCTCTATAGCTATGACTGAATGTATATCTATAGCTATGACTGAATGTATATCTATAGCTATGACTGAATGTATCTCTATAGCTATGACTGAATGTATATCTATAGCTATGACTGAATGTATCTCTATAGCTATGACTGAATGTATCTCTATAGCTATGACTGAATGTATCTCTATAGCTATGACTGAATGTATCTCTATAGCTATGACTGAATGTATCTCTATAGCTATGACTTTTTCTAAACTGTTTAACTGTTTGTCTCTTCTATTTCTATATTCCACTAGTCAACTCCTCTCCTGACCTCTTTCAACTATTCCTCTTTCAACTGTTCCCTCTCGACTATACCTATCAGCTCATTTCTCTCTAGTCCCTATGCCATGAAGAGTCCTGTCTTATGTAACATTTTCTACCCCCATAGGTGGCCCAGGAATGCTATCTGTTAACACATCGCTGTCCCTAATGTCCGGTCAATTAGAATTTCCCGTTGTTAACCCCAAAGTTATCATGAAAAGTCTCGAGTGATAATATTATGGAAAGCAACAAAGCCCTCTATCTCAAAGATTTGAGAATCTATTAACCTTAACCTCACCCCCCTTGATAATGCCCTCCCAGCAATTTCCGCCTATCCTACAAGTTACCTTAACAGCGATGGAGCTCTGTCCTGTACCCCGCCCACTCATTTGTGACGTATGCTGCCCCCCCCCCCCCTTTTCCTTTTTCAAGAATTTTTTTACTGAAAAATTTCAAAAACTCCACAAATGACCAACCTCCAACTCTACACATCACACCATCTCAAGTGCCCAGCTCTCACTCTATGCGTCGTGGAGTCTATTGTCATCTGTTCTGATCTTCAATTCTGATCTTCTGATTGTCTATTCTGATCTTCAATTTTTCAACCAAAAAAAGGCAACAAAGAAACATCATGCGTGTGTCAATGATAAGCAACGAAAATTATCATTGACTATAACAACATGAACATTGTAACTGAAAAGACTAAAGCACACACTTATCCAAACATTTTGGTCTATCATTCAAATAGATTAATCTCAGACCCAACATGTTGCCATTAGATCACCTTTTGGGCCAACCAATAGGAAGATAAATAGACATCTATAAACACTTAAAGTTGGGCTTCATAAAATTACTAAACTATGGGATTCCTCCAAGTACCTAAAGATGGGCTTCATAAAATTACTAAACTATGGGATTCCTCCAAGTACCTAAAGATGGGCTTCATAAAATTACTAAACTATGGGATTCCTCCAAGTACCTAAAGATGGGCTTCATAAAATTACTAAACTATGGGATTCCTCCAAGTACCTAAAGATGGGCTTCATAAAATTACTAAACTATGGGATTCCTCCAAGTACCTAAAGATGGGCTTTGATAATTACTCAAAGATCGAATTTGAAAACGTATTCCGAGTTCAGTCGGCAAAGAAGCAGGGGGAATAATTATTCAATTTGCTAAAACAATAATTAATAGGATAAATGTTACGGTGGGATTACTCAGCGTGTAACAGATAATCATTAATTTGTGAATCTAAAATAAACGTTTGTGAAATTCTCAGACATTACTGCGGGCCGCATTAAATGTTTCTGTGGGCCATCATTAAATGTTTCTGTGGGCCATCATTAAATGTTTCTATGGACCAGCATTAAATGTTTCTATGGGCTAGTATTAAATGTTTCTGTGGGCCAGCATTAAATGTTTCTGTGGGCCACATTAAATGTTTTAGTGGACCACATTAAATTTTTCATTTGGGGCAAATTAAATGTTTCATTTGGGCCACATTATTAGTTTCATTGGGCCACATTAAATGTTTTATTTAGCCACATTATATGTTTCATTGGGCCACATTAAATAATTTATTGGGCCACATTAAATAATTTATTGGGCCACATTAAATAATTTTTTGGGCATCTTAAATAATTTATTGGGCCACATTAAATAATTTATTGGGCAACATTAAATAATTTATTGGGCCACATTAAATAATTTATTGGGCCACATTAAATGGTTTAGTGAACGCTAAGTCGCGCACAGGTCTCAGCTAACCAAGCCCTGTTGCAACTAATCAAGCCCTGTTGCAACTAACCAAGCCCTGTTGCAGCTAACCAAGCCCTGTTGCAGCTAACCAAGCCCTGTTGCAGCTAACCAAGCCCTGTTGCAGCTAACCAAGCCCTGTTGCAGCTAACCAAGCCCTGTTGCAGCTAACCCAGCCCTGTTGCAGCTAACCAAGCCCTGTTGCAGCTAACCAAGCCCTGTTACAGCTAACCCAACCCTGTTGCAGCTAACCAAGCCCTGTTTTGGAGTAAGCATTGCAAAAGGAATAATTGTGTGGTGACCTTTTCCCGAAATACACAGAGACATTCAGGCACACACTTTTTCAAGCATATTTTCAATTAGTGATTTTTCTAGTTTTGAACTTCGCCAAATCTCAGATGAAGCTTTACAATCAAACTCACTTTCAACTAATCCTTTCAGAATTAGAATTCATGCAGTTGTGTTTATCGGGATGTGTTGTCATAGATGAGAAAAATTCTATTTATTCCTTGACGTAAACAATGGGATTCTTTCTCAATAAAGGTTATTTTACTCCCACATAGTCTTTATTTCCTGTCTTTTTTACTCTTTATTATTCTTTCTTTTCAAATATTTTCTTTTTATTTCAGTAAATCTCGAGTCATGTTAATTTTTATGTCACCCTAGCTCTCTCTGTCTCTCTCTCTCTCTCTGTCTCTCTTTCTCTCTAGGTCTCACTATCTCTCATTGAAATGAACATTGAAATGAACATTGAAATGAACATTGAAATGAACATTGAAATGAACATTGAAATTAACATTGAAATTAACATTTAAATTAACAGTGAAATTCATTGAAATTAACTTTGAAATTAACATTGAAATTAACATCGAAATTAACATTGAAATTAACATTGAAATTAACATTGAAATTATCATTGAAATTAACATTGAAATTAACATCGAAATTAACATTGAAATTAACATCGAAATTAACATTGAAATTAACATTGAAATTAACATTGAAATTAACATTGAAATTAACCTTTGAAATAAACATTGAAATGAACATTGAAATTAACCTTTGAAATGAACATTGAAATGAACATTGAAATTAACATTGAAATTAACATTGAAATTAACATCGAAATTAACATTGAAATTAACATTGAAATTAACATTGAAATTAACATTGAAATTAACATTAAAATTAACATTGAAATTAACATTGAAATTAACATTGAAATTAACATTAAAATTAACATTGAAATTAACATTGAAATTAAGAGCCATGTAAATAAAGAATAACACCGCTAAACTAAAAAAAAATTATTTGCTTCCGAAAAAACAGATATATAATATTTTTTACTGACAACCTTATTCCCCGATGGGATCCCAATCCCGATGGGATCCCAAATGACCCCATTTTTCCATGGCGTCCCGTTGCCCGGATGGATTCCGATGGGATTCTGATGGTATCCCGACCTCTTTTGGATCCCGATCCTTGTGGGACCCGATCCCAGGGAATCTTGGTCCGGTGGGATCCCGTTTTCTGGTGGGATCCCGTTTTCTGGTGGGATCCCGATCCCGGTTTGATCCCGTTACCCGATCGATGTGTGCATTGTACGTTGTCGAGAGCAACGGTGAATACGGTACAAACTTACGATTATCGACCTCAACATCATTGGTTCGTAACTTTAAAGTGATGGATTTGCCACCATTTTCAGTTGATCGTCGACGATAGAGTGGAAATCCGTCACTACCAGTGATGGTCTCCACAAGAAAGTCTCTTTGGTATCGTTTCGTACACTTCCCATCAGACATGCATGGTGAATTTTTGTTGAGTGAGCAACATGGACCGTGAATCATGTTTTTCGTGACGTCTTCAAATAAGTATTGATCAATGTCGACATCTGATATTTCTAATGAAATTACTTTATCAATTTGATCGGGTGTGACTTTTTCGATCAACCAAATTAAAATGTGTGCATGTGGCAATCCTCTTTTCTGTCATCCAACAACGTGTCTCTCCATAAACAGGATGCTTGACAATGGAATCTGTTAAAGAATTCAATTTGTGTTTGAACACACGCGCATGGAAATATCATGATGATCCGATTGTCCATGTTATAACAAAGGTTATTGTATTTCATCCCAGTAGCATTGTATGTGAAGGTCATCAAAAATCTGGGCGGCCATATGCGCAAACGTATGTGATTGCATCTTGTGCGTATTCATGTGTCGTGGAGTCTCTGTAAATGTGGCCGGTAGTATGACCATATTCCCCAATTCATTTGGATTCACATTGCCATCATTAACAATTGCATCGCGTAAATGAATGTACTCTTCTGAACGCAATTTGGTTTGATTTAATCGAATAGAGGAGTCGTTCACTTTTGATTATCGCATACATATCGACAATGTCTTGATCGAACAATTGTCGACATTTCAAGATCAGATTTTCAGCGCTCTCACGAATAATCAATCGGTACGACCAGTAATTCATGGTACTGACTGTCTTATTCATGGTACTGACTGTCTAATTCGTGGTACTGACTGTCTTATTCGTGGTACTGACTGTCTTATACGTGGTACTGACTGTCTTGTTCGTGGTACTGACTGTCTTATTCGTGGTACTGACTGTCTTATTCATGGTACTGACTGTCTTATTCGTGGTACTGACTGTCTTATTCGTGGTACTGACTGTCTTATTCGTGGTACTGACTGTCTTATTCGTGGTACTGACTGTCTTATTCATGGTACTGACTGTCTTATTCATGGTACTTACTGTCGTATTCATGGTACTGACTGTCTTATTCATGGTACTGTCTTATTCATGGTACTGACTGTCTTATTCATGGTACTGCCAGTCTTATTCATGGTACTGACTTCCTTATTCGTGAACAATTGAATTAATTCGTTGTGTTGATAGCTCTGTTTGAAATTATACTTACATAGCTCATTTAAGGAAAACAACGAATTTAGGGCCCTCGGCCCCAAACGGAATAATTTAGAGTGGTTGTACCAATTCAGAGCCCTTTGCGGGCGTGCGCGCAACTATTCAACAACGTTATATCGCAATCGGAGGAATGGTGTTTAGGGGAAGGACAGACAGACAGACAGACAGACAGACATGCAGACAGACAGACATGCAGACATGCAGACATGCATAAATACATACATACATACATACATAATAGACGACACATTGAGAGGTGTGTGACGTTATTTATCATTGATGTTGACACAACCTGGGTCTAGCCAGAACGAGATTGTAGCAAAAGGCCTGGTTCACAGGGGTGTCCCCCCCTTTCTTCCCCCCCCCCGAATCCAATGTACTCCAACGTAATGAGTCTTCTGTGACCCAGTGAAACATGAAACCACTGCATATCGAATTCCCACCTGGGTTTGAGAGTACGGTTGGAAATAATGAAAAGACGTGAAGATAAACATGTGAAGCCATTCAATTCAACCTCGACAATCTACCGCTTTAATAATTCTGCCAGTTCAATATTGCGATAGTAATTGTTGTCCGAGTTGATCCCTTACGTGGCATCCTCTGTTGTTTTCATTGATTGGCTTGTGTAAGATATAGTCATAGATACACACGATAAGGCTTTGGGCAAACAGAATAGGAAGAAGTGGTTTGAAGACGTCCGGACAGAGCAGATAGGCCGCCATTATGGATGAAGCATGCCGGGATGGAAGGCAGCGCCCCACAGGGGGGACGTTGGGGGGCTAAATATTAATGCGCCTGATAGAGGATGGATTTAATGGGATTGATTTTTTAGCACTCATTTTTTTTAGGTGAAATTGTTACAAAAAACAGTTAACATCACATTACATGGAAGGCTATATCAGTGTGATATACCAAGCCTTGTAGGCTTGTGAGCTTGTAGGCTTGTAGGATTGTGCTATTTCATTGTGACAGTGGCGCTAACAACGTGTGCCACACCAAGATTCATGAAATGTACATATGATTTAGATTTTTGTTGGAACCGTATTCAGAATTGTCCATGAAGATTAGGTCTGATGAAAGGAGCTCCATTGGAAGATTATATCTTATTAGGTCTGATGAAATGAGCTCCATTGGAAGATTATATCTTATTAGGTCTGATGAAAGGAGCTCCATTGGAAGATTATATCTTATTAAGTCTGATGAAAGGAGCTCCATTGGAAGATTTATCTTATTAGGTCTGATGAAAGGAGCTCCATTGGAAGATTTATCTTATTAGGTCTGATGAAAGGAGCTCCATTGGAAGATTATATCTTATTAAGTCTGATGAAAGGAGCTCCATTGGAAGATTATATCTTATTAAGTCTGATGAAAGGAGCTCCATTGGAAGATTATATCTTATTAAGTCTGATGAAAGGAGCTCCATTGGAAGATTATATCTTATTAAGTCTGATGAAAGGAGCTCAATTTTTTTAGAATGTTGATACGAAGTCTCCAGTTAGTCTGTTATTTTTGGTATAAACAAGACAACTACAACAAGACAACTACGCTCTTACATCCCCACAAGACAACTACGCTCTTCCATTAACAATAGAACCCTCTCAATCCCAAGAACCAAAACTAAGACCATCGGTGAACGCTCCTTCTACTTCCAAGGGCCCACGTTCTGGAACCAGCTCCCCTTCCATATCCGTCATTGTGAAACCTCGTCCACTTTCAAAAAGTCCCTTAAAACCCATCTGTTTAGGTCCGCCTATGACCTGTGATGCACCCTTCTTGCCCTGCCTCATTTTCTGTCTCGGGTTGATCCTGTAGTATAGGCCAAAACGTGCCAAAGTGTCCTCTTTTATAGCCATTTTAATTGTTTCTATAGTATAGTAGTTACTATCCTAGTGTCTCATTTTTATTTTACTTAGTTTACATGTTTTTAATAATTGTAAAGAACTTAGAGCTTTAAGGTAAGCGCAATATAAAAATGCCTAAATAAATAAATAAAATAAGCACATTTTTATAGCGCATTTTTTTTCTATATTTAATATTTTGATATATGCTTAAAATGAAATATGTTTAATCTTGAATAAAACTATGACTGGTAAAAAATGGGGGAAAAAAAAAAAAGGGGGGGGGGGGGCAACCGTGGCGACTTTTGGAATCGGCTGGTCAAGTTAAACTTAGAAACAAGTCCAGAATTTGAGGCACCAAGTAGTGTGCCGACTGGTCTAATCATGGGCCTTTCTGGCGGCTTCTCAAATGGTCTAGTTGATATTCAAAACTCACTATCTGGCTAACCATTTAAGTTCATTCTCTGAGAGGTTTTTGACACATTTTAAAGACAAGAAAACGTAGCTGACTCGTAGTTCAATTTTTAGTAGGCAAAAAATATATATATATTGTGTTTATTGTGGCCTTCCATTGGATTTGACCGACTTGACAGCCCTGATCCCAGCCATTTTGTTAGGCAGGATACAGATGACCGACACACGGCACACATCTGACTTACAACTGCAACTCGTGTATGGAATGTTCGTGTCTTAATTGTAACAATAATATCATTTAATAGTGAATTATGACCCCCAGATTCCCAACTGAATTATGACCCCCAGATTCCCAACTGATGAGTGGCAAGACCAAAATAGGGGTCCCTGAAACAAAAACCTATTTAAAAAAAAATCATGATTTTAAAAAGAAATTTCATTTGTAATGGGTGCCTTCGTTAAGTTGGAATCATTGTACAACAACCCAGATGGAAAGATCGATTTTCGTGGGGGAGGGGGGGTGTGGGGTGGGGGGTTGTGTTGTTGTTGCTTTTTTTTACCGTATAAATATTTTTAAGGTATCGGAATTGCATTAGTATGCATTATCCGTGAAAGAAATGAAAAAAATATAATCATTTTTAGAGAGAGAGAGAGGGGGGACAGGAGAGAATGAGAGGGAGACAGAGAGAGAGGGGGAGGGGAGAGGAGAGAATGAGAGGGAGACAGAGAAGGGGAGAGAAACAATTCTCAATCAGGGTAAATAGCATATGTACCCAAATAAGGCATATTTTTTATTTATTTTATTTTTTAAATAGCATTCTGTTTGAGATGAAATGATTGATGTGTACAAACACAATGTTACCTACCACATTTAACTAGCAATCTGTTTGAGACGAAATGATTGATGTGTACAAACACAATGTTACCTACCACATTTAACTAGCAATCTGTTTGAGATGAAATGATTGATGTGTACAAACACAATGTTACCTACCACATTTAACTAGCAATCTGTTTGAGACGAAATGATTGATGTGTACAAACACAATGTTACCTACCACATTTAACTAGCAATCTGTTTGAGATGAAATGATTGATGTGTACAAACACAATATTACCTACCACATTTAACTAGCAATCTGTTTGAGATGAAATGATTGATGTGTACAAGCACAATGTTACCTACCACATTTAACTAGCAATCTGTTTGAGATGAAATGATTGATGTGTACAAACACAATGTTACCTACCACATGCAATGAAATTCCCTTTACACGCTTCACCCACACGTGATCCACAGACAGACGCCGATGTCGCTCTACCTCAGACAACAAGAGTGTACAGCTTCGGGTACAGCCGCTGGGGTGGAGCGTCAGTACTACTTCTGTTTCTGCATGAGTGAACACATTTTGTAGCATCGCTCTGGAACAGCCCCGTCACATGCCATTGATTTTTTTCTTCATTTACAGCCCGCTGTTGGGCTTCTCTCCCTTGTCTTTAAAGGTAGCAACCCTAACGCCCCCCCCCCCACCCCAAAATGACCATCCTTCCCCTGGGGGTCAACGCTGTCTCCTATGATTGAGTTATATTCAGCCAAATTATGTTCTATCATTAACGCGTTGATATAACAAGACCTTCGGTCTGTCTTCCACTTTGCATCACGGGGCAGCAGGTTCAAGGACTCCAAGATTTAAGGACTCCATAAATTGCGTAATGTAAGGATATGGTTAGTTTAGTTTAGAGTTAGGTTAGGGTTAGGTTAGAGTTAGGTTAGGGATAGTTAGGGTTAGTTTAGGGCTAGGTTAGGGTTAGGTTAGGGTTAGGTTAGAGTTAGGCTAGGGTTAGGCTGGCGTTAGGTTAGGGTTAGGCTAGTGTTAGGTTAGGGTTAGGTTACGGTTAGTTTAGGGTTAGGGTAGGGTTAAGTTGGGGGTAGGTTAGGGTTAGGTTAGGGTTAGGTTTCGTTAAGAGTTATAATTTCAGTTACAGTAGGGTTTAAAGCTATGTTCAAATTTAGGGTTAAGATTATGTTAGTGTTGGGTTTAGGACAAGAGTTAGTTTTGAAAATGGACCACACTCTTCAATCAATTCCGAGGCCAGAGCCTACATGCCGACTGCTAAATCTGGTACGTCATTGAGATAACAGTCCTAAGTTCCTTTGCAAGTTTTAATTTAATTTCGTTTAAATTTACTAACATCTTCTTTTCTTTCATATCTTCTTTTTTACTTCTACGCTAAATGTCTGCTTCTACTTCAAGAGACTGTAGTATTGACAACATGTGACGTAAAGTCTCAAGCTGTCAATGGCCACATTTCAAGTTTTCATGTAACAAAGAACAAAAAACTGGTTTTAATGAATTTAGGGGAGATAACAGCAGAAATTTTAGGCTAAAAAATCCTAAATTAAGTCCCCTAAAAAGTAACAGTAGTTATGTTTCTTTAACCATTTTATTAGCGTAGGTCTCTTAAGAGATAGCCATGAAATAAACATTTTCAAAACACTATTGCATTTAAACATAAGCTTGAGAGAGAGACACATAAATTAATCAACTGTAACCTTTAGAGACGTGAATTCAACTATGACCTCTAAAGACTCACATACATGAATTCAACTATGACCTTTACTGACTCACGTACATGAATTCAACTATGACCTTTACTGACTCACATACATGAATTCAACTATGACCTTTACTGACTCACGTACATGAATTCAACTATGACCTTTACTGGCTCCCATACATGAATTCAACTATGACCTTTACTGGCTCCCATACATGAATTCAACTACGACCTTTACTGACTCACATACATGAATTCAACTACGACCTTTACTGACTCACGTACATGAATTCAACTATGACCTTTACTGGCTCCCATACATGAATTCAACTATGACCTTTACTGGCTCCCATACATGAATTCAACTACGACCTTTACTGACTCCCATACATGAATTCAACTATGACCTTTACTGACTCACGTACATGAATTCAACTATGAGCTTTACTGACTCCCATATATGAATTCAACTATGACCTTTACTGGCTCCCATACATGAATTCAACTATGACCTTTACTGGCTCCCATACATGAATTCAACTATGACCTTTACTGGCTCCCATACATGAATTCAACTATGACCTTTACTGGCTCCCATACATGAATTCAACTACGACCTTTACTGGCTCCCATACATGAATTCAACTATGACCTTTACTAACTCACGTACATGAATTCAGCTATGAGCTTTACTGACTCCCATACATGAATTCAACTATGACCTTTACTGACTCACGTACATGAATTCAACTATGACCTTTACTGACTCCCATACATGAATTCAACTCTGACCTTTACTGACTCACGTACATGAATTCAACTATGACCTTTACTGACTCCCATACATGAATTCAACTATGACCTTTACTGGCTCCCATACATGAATTCAACTATGACCTTTACTGGCTCCCTTACATGAATTCAACTACGACCTTTACTGGCTCCCATATATGAATTCAACTATGACCTTTACTGGCTCCCATACATGAATTCTACTATGACCTTTACTGGCTCCCATACATGAATTCAAATATGACCTTTACTGGCTCCCATACATGAATTCAACTACGACCTTTACTGACTCCCATACATGAATTCAACTATGACCTTTACTGGCTCCCATACATGAATTCAACTATGACCTTTACTGGCTCCCATACATGAATTCAACTACGACCTTTACTGGCTCCCATACATGAATTCAACTATGACCTTTACTGACTCCCATACATGAATTCAACTATGACCTTTACTGACTCACGTACATGAATTCAGCTATGAGCTTTACTGACTCACATACATGAATTCAACTATGACCTTTACTGACTCACGTACATGAATTCAGCTATGAGCTTTACTGACTCACGTACATGAATTCAGCTATGAGCTTTACTGACTCACATACATGAATTAAAATATAAGACAAAACTTTCAGATATGTTTAATCTATTTACGTCGGTTGGGGGGGGGGGGAACATTGGAAATGGGATGGGGGTTGACTTTTAAAATTTGAGAAGAATGGAAGGCGATAAATGAAAGAGTGTCTTTAAGCCAGTAAATGAAAGAGTGTCTTTAAGCCAGTAAATGAAAGAGTGTCTTTAAGCCAGTACATGAAAGAGTGTCTTTAAGCCAGTACATGAAAGAGTGTCTTTAAGCCAGTACATGAAAGAGTGTCTTTAAGCCAGTAAATGAAAGAGTGTCTTTAAGCCAGTAAATGAAAGAGTGTCTTTAAGCCAGTAAATGAAAGAGTGTCTTTAAGCCAGTAAATGAAAGAGTGTCTTTAAACCAGTAAATGAAAGAGTGTCTTTAAGCCAGTAAATGAAAGAGTGTCTTAAAGTCAGTAAATGAGAGAGTGTCTTTAAGCCAGTAAATGAAAGAGTGTCTTAAAGTCAGTAAATGAGAGAGTGTCTTTTAGACAGTAAATGAAAGACTGTGGCCTGCTGTGGTTAATATTTCATTGACACACTACTGGGCCTGTTCTGGTTCATATTTCATTGACACACCACTGGGCCATGTTTGGTTCATATTTCATTGACACACCACTGGGCCATGTTTGGTTCATTTTTCATTGACACACCACTGGGCCATGTTTGGTTCATATTTCATTGACACACCACCGGGCCATGTTTGGTTCATATTTCATTGACACACCACCGGGCCTGGTTCTATGTCCATATTGAGACGTTACAAATGAAACCCCACTGACGCGCCTCCTATATAATAATAAGGATAATAATAAAGTTCATTTCAAAAACACGCTTCAACCCCAAAGGCTCGAAGCGCGGTACAAAGTCAACAAAATACAAAATCTATAATTTACCACATTTAAAACAAACGCAACACTTGTCTTAGATGAGTTGCCTTGTCTTAGATGAGTTGCCTTCTCTTAGATCAGTTGCCTTCTCCTAGATCAGTCGCCTTCTCCTAGATGAGTCGCCTTCTCCTAGATGAGTCGCCTTCTCTTAGATGAGTCGCCTTCTCCTAGATGAGTCGCCTTCTCTTAGATGAGTCGACTTCTCTTAGATGAGTCACCTTCTCTTAGATGAGTCGCCTTCTCTTAGATGAGTCGCCTTCTCTTAGACGAGTCGCCTTCTCTTAGATGAGTCGCCTTCTCTTAGATGAGTCGCCTTCTCTTAGATGAGTCGCCTTCTCTTAGATGAGTCGCCTACTCTTAGATGAGTCGCCTTCTCTTAGATGAGTCGCCTACTCTTAGATGAGTCGCCATCCAAGGTTAACGAGTCTCATCCACCAAAGTGCACAGTGGTTGTTTTCTTGTGGCTGGTCTAGTTCTTTCAACTCCAGTCCACAACTCAGGATTGACTCACTTTTATAAAAGTTTGAGATAAAGCTTATTTATCTATTCGTGTTTGACCATTTCGTCACAGCTGCTCATACTCATCTGCGCACACACATCTGCGCATATACATAAGCGCACAGTACAACACAAAACTGGCGAGAAAGAGATGAAGTATTCGGTTTTAGCTTTAATTATATCTCTAAATCTTCCCTGACATCGGGAAAGATAAAGAATGATTGTACAACTTACTTTCGAAATGATAGACCACACCAGCAGTAGTGTTATGTCAACACAGTTGAATGGGGCGCAAATGGATTGAAAGATGGGGCGGCAAGATGAATGCTTGCACTTAATAAACAACATAGCGAAGTTGTGAATGTGCACACAACAATCATGTTGGATGACGTGAACAGAGTGACGTCATTGCACTTTAAAATTCTAAATTTTAAAAAAAAATTGTATCGGAGAGAAGACGCCACTTACACTTCAAAGGTATTTTCAGTTGGTGGTCACAAAACAAGGGAGATTACTAGCTTCACCGTGACACGTGGGTGACAGCCCCTGACTCCTCCATTGTCTCAGGGCAAATATTTGGATGTTTTTCGATACAGCGAACCGCTTTGTTTTTAATGCCAGCCAATCGATGATGCGCCTGTCTGAGATGAAAGGGGGCTGTTGCGTGACAGCTCCAGCCTGTGTCACATGTGACAGAGACACAAGACGGGGCGAACCACGGCGATCTTAGAGATCAGGGCGACGGATGCAGCGGCATTGTCATCATGAGTCAGACAATTAGTGATTGAAATGGTAACATTGTTTTATGTAACCGTACCGTGAGTGGTGAGTGGTGATTGGTGAGTGGTGATTGGTGAGTAGTGAGTGCCAAGTGGTGAGTGGTGAGTGAAAAGTGGTAAGCTGTCGAGTGGTGAGTGCCAAGTG